AATTTTTTCGATGATAAGGGTGATATAGGTTTGATTTTCTCATGATTAAGATACTAGTTAAGGAATTCGAACATGAGATCTCTAGGTTCTAGGCTACCACAAGGACAAACCCAATGCTTTAAAGCATTGGTATTTTAGTTTTTGCTTTTATAATACAACTTGAAGTTGTACCTCTTACGTTATGTTACAAGTTCATGTTGTACCTATACTCTCTTGTATAAATTCATGGGTAATGTCAATTTTTTATCCAAACCTTTTTCAGATTCTTTTATATTATCCTAACCTATTAAAATGCTATTAATTAGTCAAATATATTGTAATGCATCAAAATATTAGCCATTTTTACGGTATCATTAAAAATTTTGTTTTTTTTTCTATGTTTCTGTAGGTTGGGGTTTTTGTGTTTGGGCTTTTCAATTTACTTTGGGCTAGTTTTTATCTTTCCTGGACCTAGTCCAAACTCTGTATCACATCTCCTATTTCGTAATGAAATAAGGTTTCGTAAAAAAAAACAAAATTGCTAACTGGTCAAGTTAACATATGACTAATTTTTAGTATTTTGATAGGTTTGGCTAATAAAAAATAATTCGAAAAATGTTTATATAATAAATAGTAATTTTCCTAAATTTATTTATGGTAAAAACTAAAACGATAACTTTATTTTATTGCCTTGGAGATACTCTAGACCTTTTGATTGTGTTTTATTGTGTTTGATTGTGTTTTATGTTATTGTCTAGCATAAATCGATAATTTGTTTGCAGGTTGCCATATATATAGGGAATTGGTGAGAAGTTTGCTTGGTAAGTTCTTTCCGCACACAGATGGATGACTTTCAAGGTTGTCAAATCGCGGGCTGATCTGGACCCAGTCAAACTAGTGGGTCAAGGTTAATGGGTCATCCATTTTAGCTCGATTTAGTCCGAAAATATGGAAAGAATCATTATATTGTGCTTATCCTAGTAAATTATATCAAATCTCATCTAACATATGAGTTATAACATATAATATTGCACCAAAATAACATTTCGTACTTAGATCCAACATATAGTGAAAATTCACACACAATTATATAACATCAATATTCAAATATTCAACTTAGTATTCCAAACATTGAGTTAGGCGAAAAGAAAAATCGGAACATAGGCGCATTTGGCAAATCAAAGAAAAAAACGACACAATTTGACCTCCAACCCAGAACCTTGTAGCGGTTGACCCGACGGATTCGTGCAGCCCATTTTCTTACCGAGCCAGGGTCAAAGTGGGTTGACCCGCGGGTCGACAACCTTGATGTCTTGGAAACTTGAGCTTGAATGGGCAATTGCTTCCTTAATAGTCTCCTCCGTCATTAATAGTGTTGGTAAGCTGATATGGACTTAGTGGCAGATACATGGGCCTTTAGGAGTGTCTCGGGACATCCATAAATTTGGGAAAACGATAATCCAACCCCCGGTAGTAGTTTCGTATGGATAAAAAAATTATAATTGGTAATTCGGGACACCCTTAAATTTTGAAAAAATCGATTATCTTGTCCTCGGCAATAGTTTGCGTATGATTAAAAATATATAAGTAGTACTCTGTGTCATTCAAACATAGGACACTACTATTATTAAACATATTTTCTAGGTTGTAACTCATTTGTTGTTTTATTTTGAACACTATGTAATAGTAAAAACACTATTCTTTATTCCCAATGATTTTCAAAACCTAACAATTAAACTCATTCAATCTCTCCTTAATTTGAATTGATTTTATAGGTATACTGCAAGAGTTGAAAGACTCTTTTAAGTTTGAGTTACATAAGGAACAATGTTAGAAATCGAATTTGCGATTAGTTCGTGAATTATTGTCTAATATGGTATATTTACCCTAGTCGGATATTTTTTTATTTACGAATTATTTTATTTAATTTAATTTTTCAAAGAGAACACCACTATAAAAAATTTATGAATCCGCCACGGTCTGGACTATAGTGGTTAACCATCTGTAGCGCGAAAGATGTCGCATGATATTTGAAGGAGTGGCAAGAGATGCAACGTGCTCGGTGAGACTGATAAAAAATAAACTTATATCGATGGTGGATGAATCAATTCTTCTGCAGTTTTGGTAGTCTTATAGACGCTCTTCTTTGATGACAGATTTCTTAGTATTTCTCAGTTTGATGAATATAGTTATAGGTCGCCTAGTTGGCAAGGGGCGTTGCCAATAACGTTTTTGATAATATAACATTATTGATTCATCAAAGACAAATATAAAGTATTACGTTAACTAGAAATTAAATACACAAATAAATATGTGTAATGTAGTCAAAATCGCGATTTAAACTTAAAAAACTTATGATTTTACGTTTTTAGGTCAATAACACGCTTCTACACAAAATCTCAGTCTTTATAACTTATGTAGTTAAAAACTCCGCTTTAAAACTTGAAAACTTACGATTTTACGCTTCTAAATCAACAAAACGTTACTGCGTAGAAACTCGCTATATTTTGTGAATGAAAAACAAAAATAGAAAGAAGGAAGGAAAGAAAGAAAAAAAAAAGCAAAGGGACAAAAGGTGAGTCATAGTTCAATTGCATGAAAACTTTCAAATTTGTACCAGTTGCAATTGATCCCAATTCCCACATCAATGCCATCAATTCTCACTTTCACTCATTTCCCGCCTTAGACTTGCAAGTCCCTCCATTACCACCATTGACAATGCTCTAAGAAATACCACATTCTCAAATAAACACATAATTTCTTTCAAAATATCATACATCCAAATGATACGACAATGTGTTAAGTACGAAAATACGAAATTTAGGTTGCTAGACGACCCTGCCTGTGTGTGGATGTAGTCATGTGGAGTAAGATTGGACGAATGACATAAACTTTTGTGGGCCGTCGCTCGGATAACCTTGGAATATATATTTTGATCCAGCCTGCTAGGTTGTCCCACGGTGTGCTCGTCCTCCAATAGATATCAAGTCCCTTTCTTTTGAATAGGAAAATTTTCAAACTGATTTAACTTCTCATCTGCCGACTACTGGCTAATAAATACATGCCAACAAGTTGTACCTATACTAGTACTCTACCCGGCAGGCGGCAACTAGCTAGTCTTCATTCTCTAGACTAATTTCTTAAGGACACCACACCATACTAGCTATGAGATATGATCTCCATTGATAACAAAATGAGGTGAGATTGTGGTGAAGAATGAATTCAGCTAGCTCAACCTATATACCTGTTTGCTGGGTCATCGGTGGTAGGCCCCGCGAGAAGCTCCAGATGTTTGCGTGAAGTCTGGGGAGATTAGCATGATCATGACCAAGAAGAAACATATCAGTGATTCTCTAGAGAGTTGATATCTGCAAGAGTTTTAAGATGAAGGGGAGGGGGGCAATCAATTAAGCGGATAAAAGATAGTAATAAATATAATTTTTTTGAAAGAAATTCCGAAGACGATATTATGTAGATTTCTCGTAAAACCCATGCACGCAAAATAATAGACTCAATTGGGTTCCAACCTTTTCATGACATTAAACGAATGAACTAGTACATATTTATAAGAGTAGAATCTTCTACCTTTTCCTATCTAGAACATGACTCCTATTCCTACAAGGAACTAACTAACAATAACCAAATCCTACTTAAACAAGTAAACTACTAATAAAGACAATAATTGTAAGGAAGTGGTTAAGTACCATAAATGGGCATGTATAAGATCCATTATAACCTTCTCCCAACAACTCGAGTTATTGTGACCAAATGGTTCTTAACATGGTTTGTCCTTGAGGTCACGTGTTCAAGTCCTCACGACCCCCAATATTAACCGTTATTTTTCAAGCACATGGTATGTCGGGCCTGTGCAAACTTCAAGCCCATGAGTTGGCTTTCGTTTGAGGGGGCGTGTAAGGAAGTGGTTAAGTACCATACATGGGCCTGTATAAGATCCAGCATAACCTTCTCCCAACAACTCGAGTTATTGGGACCAACTGGTTTATGACAACAACAACAACAACAACAACAATAATAATAATAATAATAATAATAATAATAATAATAAGACTACTAATACAATAAGGATAACTAAGCCCAGATAATTAGCCCAATTGCTACGATGACCCAATTCTCGTAACAGACTAACGAGAGATATAATGTATGTTGTTATTTATTCACGTCATTTCAAGAAAAAATTAATTTAAAATATATCAAAATGGATGTCATTGTGTAAATTTTTATTAATATCACGGTTTAAAACAAAATAACATTCTAAAATATATGAAAATTTAAAATTCAATTTAAATCGATAAATTATGGCTAATACAAATTATTAGGTGGAAAGAAAAAATTTGGGGTTTTCACCCATAATTAGCAATTCTCATTATAGAATTTCCTGGCCAAATTAGCTCAAGCGTTCGAAAAATACAAGGCATAGCGATGCCAACAGCATACCAGAAGTGAGACACGAACCAAATTACAATACTACTTAGTATCTGTAATCTGAGAAAGACTAGGAATCTGCAAGATGTGTGATGAAATTCAACATTTCCACAACAAAACAAAAACACTTCTTCCCCTAAATATGGTAGCCAAAAGCTCTGACTGATGTGGGTTTGCATCAAAGATGCGCCTGCATCGCTCCTTCTAGAGGAAAGAAATACACTAGCACCAGAGCAAACTCTCAACTTATCCCGTGACATCGCCTCTTTGAGCAACATTACAGATAATTTGCAGCATGTCCTCCCACAAGAGAGGGACCTGAAATGTGAAATGTAGTTCTCAACACCTTTGAAACAAAGGTAACGGAAAAAGCACATTCACTATCATTAGCCAGATCAGAAAATGATACATAGGGAGAGTGAACTTGCCCCATAGGATCTTCCACCATCGAACAACATGCCTCTTCATTCTAATAGAATCTCAGACAGTAGATATAGAGAAACAAACCAACTTCCTCCTTGTCAAGTGACAACCTCATAAAAACACGTTTCCGAAGACCATGAACTTGAAGATCCGCACGAAGGTGGAACTTCGCGTCGGCATCAACCGATAAGGCAGAGCGGAGAAGAAGGGTCATCGAGTGGGTTTGCTGGAGCCGAGATTCATGCAAGTCGTGGAATAATCGTCGGAGGCGCTACGTCGGGAAGGCGGTTCGGAGGGAGCTGATGAGGAGAAGGGTTCCTCGCCGAGGAAGAAGAAAATGAAAGAGGAGGTAGACACGTCGGCTTCCATCGCGTCGATGGCTAACCGGAAGCCGGAGAAAAAGGTGAGCACAGGGGAACTAGGATTGCCACTCGTCCGTCTGGTGGGTGCACCGCCGCCAAAGACAGTGGCATCAGAGAAGGAGTTGACGGCGGAGGGAACGAAGAGGGAGGGTAGCAGCTCTCCTTTCCCAAGCCCTAGGTCGTGTCCCCGGTTCGGTGAGTTGGATGGCACTCAAGGTTTAGGATGCCCATCGCCACCACTTGGTCCAGTCGCTCAAACTACACCAAGGGATAGTATCATGTCAACTCGAGACGTGGGAGGGAAGTTGGGTGAGGTCAGCTCAGGCCGGGAAGGTTAGCCCAACAAGCTAGAGATTAGAGTGGAGTTGGCCTTTCAAGAGTCTGGTGGGCCCAATACACTGGTGGCCTCAATGAGGAATGCAACAAGCTTCCCAACAGAAGGTGGGCTGACACCTCAGGTACGGGTTGGGCTACAATTGGGTTGTTCGATTCACTCTCTTTTATATGGTAAGAACACAAAGGAGAAGGAAGAGGAGTTTGAAAGCTTAGCTTTTGGGCTTTCAAAGGAACATGGCCCACAAAGAGTGGAGGAAATAACAAAGGAAGTGATTGGGCTAGGTCCAATAAAAATGTTTGAGAGTCTTGAAGAGTTGGTACTTAAGGATGAGTTCTTAAACAAGAAAGAATCCTTAAATTCTTTGGGTTGGTGGAGGATGATGACCGCAAAGGAGACATTATTGAAGTTTGAATTCTTTGAGGATACGAGAATTGAGCCATCAACGATGACGTTCACGACTTTGGAGCAGCACCAGGAGATCGAAGAAAGAAGGTCAAGTCGAGTAGTGGAACACGATTGGAAGAAAAGGAAGCGCAAGAAATGGAGCAGTCAGCGTTCAGATTGTGCGAGGAAGAAAGAAGAGTGGTTCGAGTTGATCAACCTTGAGGGCAAGGTTGGTCTCAAGGGGGGAGTGTGTGATAGAAACATGTTTTCGTGTTGTATCCTTATTAGCATTATTATAATTATTAGGAAATATTATTAATATGGTTAGTAGTCTTCTAGTAGAATTAGGTTTATTATTAGGGTTTCCTAGTATTCCCTATAAATATGTACTTTGTTATTCATTCAGAATCAAGCAAGAACAATTATTAAGAAAGTATCTCCAAAAACCCTAATCCTCTATCATCTAATTTCTCGATCACAATCCCTCCAAGGCTTCGGCCGATTCTATCCTTCTATTCTTCTTCTTCCCAAAATTCTCAAACTCGATCCCTATTTCTATCTTCTAATACCTATATCCCCAATTCTCTTCTATAATCCCTAAAATTTCAAATGTCGATGCAATCCGCAAACCCGTTAGAAACTATGTTTCTATCACAACCCCGTCCGTGTCAGTGTTCATTCTATACTGCAACCAAGGTCTGATTTTTGACAATCGTTGCTAGATCTAAGATCATGCCACTGTAGCTTTCACATCCCAGATGGAAGTTCCACGTAACCTGTAATGGTAAATCCAGGATACCCAGAAACTCCCACCTTGCATGAGTAGGAGCCAAAGTAGTTTTGCTACGCACGCAATGTTCTAAGAGACCAGATCTTTCAACCCCAATACTCCTTCCCTTTTTGGCAATGCAAGGTTTTCCCACCTCACTTTTGCCTTACCAGCTCCATCCCCAAACCAAAGAAAAGCAGAACAGGTCTTTTGAATGGACTTGGTGACTTTCTTTGGGATGACGAAAACAACCATCCAGTAATGACTAAGAGAGTAAAGCACTGATTCCACCAGTTGTGATTTCCCAGCATATGATACAAAATTAGCTCTCTTGAATTGAACACGCCTAGTAATTTAATCAATCAGTATTGCACATTCATTTCTCGAAAGCTTACCTGAGGATTGAAGAGCAATCTGCTCATATTGATGAACCATCCACCAAAGAAGACTTCATACTTTTCTAGATTGCATTGGAGATCAGAAAGCTGATAAAAGCCATTCAATACATTCCTTACTCCATATAAAGCTCTGGATGAACCTTTGGTAAAGATTAGAAGGTCATCCGCGAAGAACAAATGTGTGGGCCCTAGATGCTTACATTGAGAATGAAAAAGGATCAAATTTGTAGTAGCTACTTTATTGAGGAGACCTGTCAGAAACTCCACATCAATAGTGAATAGGCAAGGGAAAAGAGAATCCCCGTTCCTAACACCCTTTGCTACTCCAAAGAACTCAAAAAGACTACCATGGATGGAGATATAAAAAGAGAGAGAATCCTATCATTGTCATCACAAATTTGAGATAATCCTAGTTCACCGAGTCAAAGGCTTTTTTAAAGTCCACCTTCACTGCACTTCGTTTATGTGAATAAATACAACTTTTACATGTATAAGCACCGACATGCATGAATAACAAAAAAATCACGTGAATCAACTCCACAATGCATGAAGTAGGTATTGTGTCTCCTCTAGAGACAACCATCCTTTTTCTTTAGGGCTAATTCCACTAGGAAGGCCCAACTATCATAAAAGTGACATTTGTGGTTTGAACTATTATTCAATATGACAAATATGGCCCGAACTTTCTGATTGTGTGTAATCTATGTCCCGACAATTTGTTGACCGTTAGACATAATGGTTGACCAAATGATTGTCAAAACGACGTCGAACTGAAAGTGACGTGGCTGCAACTTTATATCTACGTGGACCGACACATCAAATTGTGGGTAAGAAAATTAAAAGGGTCAAAAATTTTAACTTTATATCACCCATCGAGGTGATTGAACTCACCTTCTTTCCTCCCCACCATGATCTGAAAATTAGGTTTGCGATTATGAAGGAACTACGATGATAGTTACTGTGGCGTTAGGTGCGGCGGCGAGGAATGATAGTTGCAGCAGCGCTTTGCAAAAAACTAGGTCTCAATAATTTTGAGGTGATGGCTCCAAGAAATTAGGGTGATGGTCGACAAATTAGGGCTGGACAAAAATTAGGGCTTTTTTGTTTTCTTCATCATCGTTGTTTTAGTGTTGTGGGTAATGTGGTGGTGGCGTCCAGGGATTTTGACATGTCTGCTAAGAGAGGTCAATAAAGCAATTCCGAGTCAAGTTCCACCAACTCTCGTGTAGTGAAATGTGTGCACAATATAGCAGCTATGGTTTATGTTTCTTGAACTGAGTTGAATCTGGGGTGGTCGTTCTATTGCTGCCCTATTGGAAGGTATTAGAACCCTCTGTTGTATAGGTAGGTTTTGGCTTCTATCTTACCTTGACAACTCATTATCGTATTGCAGGATGCACGTAGCAAATGTCGTTTCTTCCATTGGGTTGATGGTCAGACTAATGATGAGGGAGCTTCTTGGTTTAATGGAGCTTTGGGAGAGAGCCAAGACATCAAGTCGAAATTGTCTTCTGTCGAACTGTATGTCGGAAGCTTAAATGAGAGCTTGATATGTGCTCAAAATAAGGCTAAACGAAGGAAGAAGGCAAAAAAATTGTTGTATGATGATTTAGTTAGGGTTAGGGAGGACAATGCTAGGTTGGTTGCTGAGTTGAGGATGGCTAAAATACGATTGTGGTTTGTGTTGCTCGTTTCAGTTGGATTAGTGGTTGGTGTTGGGATTTTAGGGATGGGGTATTAGTGGTTGTCATTTGTGTTACTCGGTTGATTTGGATTAGTGGTGGAAACCATTGTATCTGTTTATTTGACAATCTCTTTGTGTAATTTGACCATCGTATCTGTTATTTGACAATCTCTCTCTATAACTTGACCATTGTATCGGTTTATTTGACAATGCATTTGATTATTTCACACGTTAGTATGTTATTCTTGCTTATTATCTCAACTGCAAAAGCCCTTAAAAAATCATCATTGACTAAAACGAACAACACAAGTGTACCTAAAAGTTGATTTTCAACAAAACCATTTTCAACATCCTTTGCTTAGCATTCTAAAGACATAATTTTCAGCATGCTTTCTTGGACATAACACTGGTAGCCATTTCATGTTTGTCCCATGGTGGTAGACATAACTATGTAGAAATGACTAACAAACGCATCCACCTTCAATCTCTAAAACAACACGCATGCAATGCCATGGTGGCAAGGTATCCCAGTCAAGCCCTAGTAACCACACGTGCATGAGTGCTCTTCCAAGTCTACTACATATCCCTTTCGGTCAACATCAACTTCAAATTTACCATTCAAGGTAGGGTCCACTGTGCACATCTATTCCAACTTCACGCCCACCCTTAGTTTCTTCTCTATCCTAGGGCAGAATACTCCTTGGACTCTAGCAATCTTCTTGTTCTTGTCGATGAACCTCACCATAAGCTTCTTACGAATACCCTCCCGCATATCAATGATCCTTTCTTCCCTTTCTTACAAAATATATCCGTTGAAGGTTTCACAAATGTTGCTTACTACAGATTCACATCTAGATACGTCTCTCATAAAAGCCTTGCAAAACGTCTCAGACACATTATCCAAGAAGTCCCTAAGAAAACTTGGGTCAACTCCGCTTTGTTGAATGCCTTCCATGACCTTCAGAACATTCTTGTATTCATGTACGTTAGTTGCATATACTGCTGCCCAGTATAAGTCCCTATGCGCCTTCACTCTGTGGTTCACATTCCAATTTTCAAACACATGGCATGCACACTTCTGTTCTGACGCATGGGGTAGGCAAGTTGCAACGGCTAGCACCAATCCCTACAATGAACCAGAAAAACTAAAGCGTTAGATGTTACTATTAAATGGAGCTTATGTTACCCTAAAAAATGCATAAAGCACCCACCTTCTATTGGTTCGAAATGATGGTCCAACCACGACCATCAACGTTCCTCAGGTCTTGTTGCAGTATAGTGACAAACCACTTCCAGCTATCGTTATTCTCCCCTTCTACAATAGCCCAAGTGAGTGAAAACTTCATATTCTCTCCATCCTTGCCAATCGCACTTAATAGCATTCCTTATACTTCACATTTCAGAAAACACCCTTCTAATGCAAACATGGGTCGACAAGCATTCACAAATCCCTACTTCAGTCCACTAAACCCAATGTAAATTTGCTTCAACAAAATACGACCATGGTTGGGAGATGGATCCACCTCCAAAACAAAGGTACCCTCATGATCCTTATTCTTCAACTCAGCCACATAGTAACGAACCTTGTTAAACTCTTCCTCGAAAGATCCACACAGTATCCACTTAGCATAAGCCCTTTCCCTATAATACTTCCTCTGAGAAATAACCACATTATGAGTCTGCCTTATCTCCGCTATCATGTGCTTCACATTCCAGTTGGGCTCCCTCCTGAAACGCTCTAGATATTTCTTGGCAGCCCATGTTGCATTTGCACCCTTCATTCTTACACTCCATGGACAACTATGATACTTCCCAACATTCTTAATATTGAACATAGATCGAACATGCCAGCTAGCGTGGACATACCACCCGCACAAATGATGACATTCAACACGTATTTCGACTTCGAGCTCGTAGTCCATCGAAGTTCAGCACCAATTGCAATGGAATGTAGAGTAATTGTTTCCCTGAACTGTTTCGGGGAGTCAAATGTCAATCCCACCGTCAAATCTAGATTTGAATGGTCATTATTTGGGTCATAATAAGGAATATCTGAGAGTGGATCAACTTCCTCCTCTTCATTGTGATTGCCTCGAACATGCCAAGAGTCAACAGATGCCTTATAGGACAACTGCACTACTGAATGGTGCGCGTCACCACCTTCGATATTGCATTCCTCTACACTAGAACTTCCTCCACCCTTTTTGGCAGCTCCATCATCACCAACATAGTCCTCCAAGTCAGATTCTTGCTCAACCTCCTTGCCGGTTGCATCGATGCGGGTACGGGCATTCCTAGTTCTTCCTCTGATGCCTTGATTGGCAATGGCATAAATGAACTCACCGTCTGATGTTCGAATATCATCATCCATAAGGTGGATGATGTATCGACATTGAGAGTGGTACCATCTTCTTCATCACCATCCTTGGCAGATTCATCAGCCAAGTCTTCACTGTCCCCAACTTGAGTCTCCGTTGTCTCCATAAAAATAAAAATGCTTCTACCTTGAACAGCAGGGAGCATGTCATCCATCACATCAGTGTCTGACTTAATCTCATGGAGTCCAGTCTCTATAGTGTCGAAAGGGGACATATACCACACCTGATCAACCCTTGCGTATTTACGGTGTATAGTCCCAATTAGTTAAAGCTCGAAGAGGAGACATAGTCGATGTCCATGTCCACAGCCTCAGATTTCCCATCTAAGTACCTAGGAGCACCTCCCGACAAGTCCATCTTGCCACCATGATGCACCACCAACTCTAGCAAATTAGCCATCCTGCATGGTTAGCAAAAAATTAAAATCCACAACTAGAGGACCAATTCCAACTAATTAGTTTTCCCATTCTGCAATTTAATCCTCATATTTCATATTCTTTAATTTAATCAGTTTTACTAAACTAATCATAATCCAACTAACTTCAATTTTCTATTGCAATAGCCAATTCCAAGACATGCTAGAAGACAACTTTGCAGCCCATAATGAAACAAACCCAAGATTCCACTCTGAATTGAATAGCATGACAGAAGGAAAAGACCAAAAACGTGATCAGGCCATCGAATTCATACCTTTGTTTGGGAGCACCCAGAAGGGCAAACTCGTCTTCACAACAACTTCATGGTCCCTGAAGTTTGACATTTTCCAGCGAATCTTTGACTTTTACTCCCCTCTGCTCCTTTACCCCCTATACGATTCACACTATTGAATTTAACCTTTCACAAACCACATTTACTTTCCATTTACTCCCCAACAACCATTCTCCCTTCATATACCTCCTACCCACCAAGAACAGTACATTACCTTCGCAAAGAAAACCCTAGCAATTTAGGGGAAATAGAATTTCACATCGATGGATGATCCTACTTGATAAGGCATGCTGAACTCCCTCCACGACAACGATTCCACCACACAAGAAGCTCCCAGAGGTGATTCTCGATAGGATTGGCGATGGCGATGGAGCTCGTTGCTTGAGCTTGGCCAGGCGAAGAGGATGCAGGGACCACAGGTGATAGATGTTGCCTCCGCCCGCGGTCCAGGTTTCCAACAACCTTCGTCCATCGCGAATTGATGAACCCGGTGCTGGTGCAGATCAACTTTGCCAAATCATCGATTGGGGTTCTTATTATTGATGGTGTTTCTCCCTTTGCGAAGAAGAAAATGAAAGTCTATAATAATAACTTTATGACATCTAGGTTTAACTTTGCCAAATCAACTTAGTCTATAATACTAACTTACCCCGGTCTAGGTTTAACTTTTAACTCCTTTTTCCTTTTTTATTAAATGACGTGGATAGTTTGGTTAATAAACAAAGCAAAAGCCACGACGGCCGCCACATGAGCAGTGAGCTGTGAAATTGCTAAGTTATAACGGTTAATTGCGGTTAACGATGACGGAAAAATAGTTCTGGTCATATTTGTCATATTGAATAGTTCAAGCCACAAATGGCACATTTATGACAGTTGGGGATTCCTAGTGGAATTAGCCCTTTTCTTTATGACATCTACAATCTTCTTTTAACTGCAACCTTGTTTTATCATACAACCGGGTATTCATTGAGTTATAAGATTGTGAGTAGTGTTGGATTGGAGACCATCAAAGTTCAAGTCTGGAAACAAGACAGACTTGGCAGCTAACAAGACGGTACCAAGCCGGCAAGACACGCTTGGTATCAAGCCTCCCAAAAACTAAGTTTGAAAGTATGGGACAGGGTACCGAGTCGGCTAATGAGGCTCTAAAAAACTAAGTATATAGATCAAGTTGATAGGGTGCCAACCCAATAAGGCGATGACAATGTGGTCATTAGGCCATCAAGGTACCAACTTGACGAGCTCTAAATGACTAAGTATGGAGACCACCTGAGGTAGCCACTCGGTAGGGTACCAAGCCGGTAGGCAGTGTCAAGTTAATTACACAAGCTTGGTAGCTAGCTCATTGGGTAAGGGGTATGCGACAATCATGATTCTCAAGACTAGGTATGGAACCTTGAGGGTCGAGACTTGTCAGCCAAGGAACTGAGATGGAAATGTATCAACTTGATGAGGACTTGGTGTAGAGCCCCTTAGGGAGCCATATGGAGACTAAGTCATTAAGACGGGCTTGGTGTCCTTCTAGCAAGGTACCAAGCCGGCAGGGCAGCTTGGTACCAACTTGAGTGGTTGACATGACTGGCTTGATAGCAGGGGGTATCAAGCTGGCGAGATGACAAGGTTTCAAGTTGATTACATGAGATTGGTGGCAAATCAGAAGGCATCAAGCTGAGACGAAGATGGTAATAAGTCGACATCAAGGGAGTTAAGTATCGAATCATCAAGGCCATCAAGGTTGTCAAGGAGGCCCGATGGGAGGGCCAATGTGATTGAGACAATGCGAGGAGACCTCAACCCCATCAGGTCAGGACGAGGCTAGAGGCCATCAAACTGAGACCAACTATCACCAAGGTGGCGATGAGGACCAAGAGGCGGTTGGAGTAGCAAGCTAGCTAGGGGTTACTAGGGCGGTTACACCCGATGGATATAAATATGAGATACGAAGACTTGAAAAAGGGTCCCACAACTAAACATTTGACACCTCATATCAAACTTTACCTTTTCTCTGCAATGTAGCCATAACTTTTAGTTTCAGGAGCTCTCACTGAATCTCCATAGGAATAGAGTAACGTAACTTAGCTTGTTCTCAGAAAATCATCAAAACACATTAAACACTCTTGTTCGAACATTGTTCAGAGATGAGTGAACCGTGTTTAGAGTCATTGTTCAAAAAATAAAAGGTGCATTTATTGAAATCAAACTTCTTTGCCAGAAAAAACTAACACACATATGTATTATAACGGATGCCATGTGTCTTACCACACATAGACGTTATACACATGTACTAGACTCCAAAATAAGCCTTGAGAGGAGACTCGACTGATTTGCCAATCTCTTTTGACCTTAGTTTCAGGTAGTCAATGTAGTCGTAGGGCTTAAACAACAAGGGGTGTTCTTCGTCCACCAGCTCCTGCGGCGCTTTTACCATGTAACCTTGCTTTGGGATTGCAAACAAACCAGCTGATAGCCTGGCCGTGTGACCTCTTATCATCACCCTGTGGTACGGACACTGCAATCGACCATTCGTCCATGCCTGCAATATTAAAACAACCATTTGGTCTAGTGTGAACCAAAATACTGTACTTATAAGCAAGGAATGAAAACAGTGGCGGATCTAGAATTTTAGTCAAAGGTATTTAACATAGACCAAAATCTTTAAGAGTTGTCAAATGATTTCGAATTCAAATACTACCATCATTAAAATAAAATTTTACACTAACTTTTAATCCAAAATTTTGATTTAAGTGCTGTCAATTGACAATCAATTCATTCATTTGGGTCCGCCCCTAATTGAAAAACCGTACAGTACTGGCGGTTTGACCAGAAAACCCGCAAATCGATGACTAAATTAGTAGGCGGTATTTAGTGATATGAAAAGGTTGAACCACGGTTAAACCATGATTTCAGCAAAAAAAATATCAATTTTTTTTTATTTAAGGGGTCGTTTGCTTGTAGGATTTTGATGAAGGATTTTGGGAGGTTGGATTAATGATCAAATCCATGTTTGTTGAGCTCGGCCTAAATACGTGGGGCCCACAATGTAGGATTTTTTGGCTCAAAATAATGGACCCACGGATTATAAAATATCACCCCATGAGCTAGGATTTTGAGAGTTGTCAAAATTCGTGGACCCAACTAATTATGAAATGCCCAAAATATCCTTAACAAAAAAATAAAAAGTATAAGAAGATAAACTCATCATTTAACCCATAAATCCAAGTAAGTAAAGTTCATTTAGAAATCCAATAAGCAAACATGCAATTTTTAAAATCCAACACAAATCTAACAATGCAAAATCCAACATAATCCTTCAATCCCAAAATTGAAGATTTTACTAAAATCCTTCATTTTTTAAAATCGCATAAGCAAACGACTTCTAACATTTTTAGTGCAACTTCTGATACGGTTTTATAATTATCGCTTATAATACTTGTTTAAGAATTGAGAGAACTTACATTAAAAGATTCACCGACGAGTACCAGAAAGCATTGAGGAGCGAATTTGACACTGATCCATTCACCATCTCTGGTTTGGACATCAAGCCCGTCAACATGATTTTGGTGCAAGATCGTGAGTGTGTTTTGATCCACATGGGCCTTAAGCCCAATCTTTTTCTCCTGGACGGTTTGGGGCTCTCTGTAGTGAGTCAACCTCAGTTGATAACATGTTGAGTTCAACTGCTCTTCCATGTACTTCTTCTCAACACCCAAACTCTCCACTGACATCCTTCTTATTGCCTGATCCAGTTCTGACAACTTCTTTGAGAATGACAGCACAATTTCGCTGTCAATTTTCGGGTAAAAGAAGTAATTGTCAAGAACCAGTTAATGTTAATAACTTACTACGGAGAAAACAGAATTTGACTCGCGATATTTGCTTACCTAAATTTGGCGTGACCACTTGGCCACATGACGTTAGTGAAGGACTGAACCCCATGATCGGTTTCAGGGTCATCAATTCCCAAGCTTTCGTACAAGGGCATCACCGGCGAGGATCCGATGTAGCCATGGAGAGGCTTGTCGGAGACATTGCGCCGCTTGGCTTCCACCGGCAGGCTGAAAACCTCCTCCATGGCAGCATCCATCGCCTGCCGGAGCTGCTGTGGCAGATCCCCGTACGTCGCCTGAAAGCAGCCGTATTCCTGGACAGCTTCCCAGACTTGCGACTTCACCATGTTCCAGCAGCTGGCAGCCGGAGCTTTCAAGTCCATGTCGGAGAAATCTATGGTTGGGATTCGAACAGAGGTGGTTTCCTGATGATCAGAACCCATGTTGCTGTAGTTCGTTGAGTTGTCTGAGATCAGATGTTAGCTCTTAATTAGTTTATATTAGGAGTTGAGGCTTGGTCTTTCAAGTGATGTCAGTTTAATTATGATGATTTGTACGGTTGAAAATAAGTTAATGTTGATTATGTTTAATACATCTCATCATCACACTACCGTCTATAACCCACTTCGGTACCTTTCTATTATTGTTTAGGAATTAGATTCAAACAAATTGACACCATTAAGAGGTTCAATTATATTATTTAACTTATTAATTAATAGTTGGTTTAAGTATCAAATTAATTGGATTACAACAAATTAAAGATCTGAGCTAGCAAATCGGATTAGAAGCGATGGTGATGCATTGTTGGTTGATTGTTATAAGAACATAAACAAATCAACGGTTAGACTAGTAGAATCGTCATACCAGTTATGATAGTGGTTTGGTTCATTGTTTGGACGGTTATTGATGGATCAAACAGTTTTTCACGGTTCAACATATAAAAAAATGAACTACCACGGTTTAACAAGTCCACTGGTTCACTATTTTAACCACAAAATAAAAAAAAAATATATTTTAACGTAAACTAAGACCATCAAATCATAATTATTAATTTTATATGTGCTCCTTCATCTCATTTTCCAATCTTGTCAATTACCGAATGGCAACGTGATTTTAAATTTGAATTAAAAAATATAATTTATTTTGTGAGACGGTTTATAGGGATGTCAAAGGGGCGGGTTTACCTAAATCATCCACATCCCCACTTTTAAATATCAAAATCCATACCCGCCCCATGCCCATGCGGGCGAAGGTTTTGCAAACCCATCCCCATACCCGTGAGTTTCAGATTCCCATGGGTAAGACCCGCCTCGTAGATCCAACATCATTATACCTAAGACTTTACATGTACATTTTCGATTATAAAGTTAAACAGACCTACTATATCATTAAGTCAACAAAGATACAATCTTTCTTAATACGGTTCAAATCGTATGATCCTAAAACATCTATTAATCAATAAGATATAGTATAATATTTTCCAAATCATTAGTTTCTAACTCAATCTACTAAATAATACTTAACTAACATTATATTCTTGTAACAAGAGTTAAAAGTGAAAGAATGATTTATTAATTGCATTTATCCATGTATTAATTGCATTTATCCATCTTGGGTGGTCAATTAATTGCATTTCTATTATATATAGTCTTAAGCTAGCTTCACTATGATCGATAAGTTTCAATTTTATCCATGTATAATTTATATGTGAAAAAATATTATTGGTGGGGAGGCTATGAGTATGTGTATGGGGCGGGCAAGGCTACACTCATACCCACCCCATACCCATCAATTTATTTGCGGGTTTTACCCATTCCCGCCCCATACCCAGTCAATGCAGGGATTCCCAGCGTTGACTAGGTTGGGGCGGTCGGGTACCCGCTGTGATGGGTTTGATTGCCATCCCTAGGTTTGAATGATTTATTAGATATTTTGGTGATTATATGAATTTTAAACTGTTTATGGTTAATGATAATTTCATTCTAAAATTAGTGTAATGTACAAGTCTTATATATTATATACAACGAAAGGCTTCTATCAATTCAACCAACGATTAACCAGTGAACACTAAACCACTAACTTTTTCGGTAAAGCGTTCGGTCCGATTATGAAAACACTTGTTTCACTGAGCAACTTGGCAATTATAAATCCAAATCAATGTTTATATTGAAATGGTACAATTTAGGATCGTGACAATAACAAATAAAGGAAATTTTGATAAAATTCGCTCTTTTATGCGTGACGCACCATTGCGGTTCAATTATTACCATAGTTATTTCGTGTATTATCTACTTAATCAACAAGATTCAAATATATCCTTAAAAAAAAAAACAAGATTCAAATATAGCTCAATTTAAATTTCCAATATAAATTATAAGTACTTTATATTGAATTTCATTCATCACAAATAATGATATGTACAAATCAAAATCAAACTAAACCTTGGCGTTATTTTTATCAAGTATTGAACGTCTTATGTCCTTTATTTTTAATTCACTCACATTTCAACTATGCACGACATCAAACTATGGTTCATGAAACCGTACCATACCCAAGGGCATAGCCAGAATTTCGTCTAGGATGTGTCAACTTAGAAAAAATATGCATGATAATATAGTTTTGTTAATTTTTTAATTATTCCTGACATAATATTACATTTGAATTTTTCGATAAATAAACATACATTGGTAATCGACACTATCTAGAATATCACTGTAAGTTTATCAAACAATTATTCATAATTTAGATAGTCGTTCATTTTTTCAAGAATCATTTACTACCAATAACTTGAGTTGTTGATAGAGGTTTAATAATGAATCTTATAAAAAACAATTATTCATGATTTAGTTATTTGTTCTTTAGAATTGTGTTCTTTGTCAAGAACCATATTATCAATAACTCCGAGTTTTTTATTTGTTGAAAAAGTCAAAATCACTTTTTATGAATGGTTAGCTATATATTAATCATCAAAAAACGCAGTTACTCTGTGGCAACAACCCCTGCCACTGAGGAGAAAAACAACATCTCAAACCACCTGTAGAGTATCTATAAAGAGCCAAGAATTATACAACAACAACAAAGTCAGATGCATTCAAAAGAAAGCAACAACTTCCACAGCTTCACACACAACCCGTACTTCATCCTTAATCAATTTAACAGCTTCACTAAGACTTAAAACTGACCCTCCAAACCTGACTGAGCATCTCACCCTCCAAATATTACTGATCATAGATTGCCAAATCATTTTGCCAGCCCTTGAATGAGGAGCAGATATTGAAAAGGTGTCAATAGCCCACTTTAGTTCAGTAGACCATAAGTTTGAAGAAGCTCTATTGCAGAATCTGGAATAAAGCTCTTTGAATAGCTCCTTATTCCTGCAACACTCTGCAAACAGATAGTTTTGAGTCTCAATTCTACATTTACAATAAACACATGCAGTTACCCCTTGGAAGCCCCAGTCAATCATTTTATCACAAGTGGAGATGAACTGTTTAATGACCAGCCAACTTATAAACTGATTACGTGGAATGATTGGAGTTTTCCAGATAAGTTTAAACCAAGGTACTTCAGGGCTGGATTAAACCCCTTGTTTTGAGCACCTTAAGCCATAACCAGGAGCCTGTTTTACATGTTGAGGCCCAGAAATCAACCCCAAGAAGTCTGTACTCCCATATCCAGGCAACCCAGAGGGACCCTTGCTTTGTAAGAAGGTCCCAAATGTGCCTCACAATGCAAGCCAAGTTCCATCTTTTCAAGTCCCTTACACCCAACCCACCCTCTCTTTTAGGGAAAGTCAACTTCCCACATGCTGCCACTGCTCTTTTCTTTCCTTCCTGGCCCACTCCCCACAGAAAATCACTATACATTTTTTTCAATTTCCACTATCACTTTATTAGGGAAAATAAACACAGCCATCCAAAATTGAACCATATTGTATAATACTGAAAGTACCAGTTGAAGTCTTCCTGCATAACTCAGAGATTTCACCCCCCAGTTCTGGATCCTTTTGGCAATTTTGTCAATTGAAGGACGACAAGCCTTGGTAGTCAGCTTTCTAGGGATTAATGGGATTCCTAAGTACCGAACAGGGAGAGTGCCTAGCTGATAGCCAGCTCTGGCAGCCATGCTCTCCTGCCAATCCTTAGGTAACCCACAACAATAGAGCTCACACTTAGCTAGATTAGAAACTAATCCTGAGAGTAGTCTAAACTGTTTAAGAACCTCTTGAATGCATTGAATGTCATAGTTGGATCCATCAGAAAAAAGCAATAAATCATCAGCAAACATTAGGTGGGTTAAGCCTATTCTTTTGCACATTGGGTGAAAAGGCATTCTATTTTCCTGAACAACTTGCTTCATAAGGCAACTAAATACCTCCATTGATACAACAAACAGATAAGGGGAGAGGGGATCTCCTTGTCTTAATCCCTTCTTTGCTGAGAAATAACCAACCACTCCTCCATTGAAACCAACACTGATTTTAGGTGTAGTGAAGCACATTGTAATCCATTTAATGAAACTTAAAGGGATATTCATGGCCTCTAACATAGTGGTGAGATACTTCCAATCCACAGAGTCAAAAGCCTTCATTAGGTCCACCTTCACCATACACCTAGGAGACATATTTTTCCTACCATATCTGTACCATTTCATGAGCAAGTAGAATATTTTCTCCTATGATTCTACCTTTAACAAACGCATTTTGGTTCTCACTAATCAGATGAGGCAAGCATTCACTAAGCCTAGAAGAAATTATCTTTGCTATACATTTATATAAAATGTTACAGCATGACATAGGTCTGAAATTTTTCATTTCTTCAGGGTTCTTAGTCTCAGGTAGTAATGCTAAGAGGGTAGAATTTAGCTCCAATGGGAACTCAGAAACTGAGAAGCAATGTTGTATAGCAGCAGTGATTTCTTCCCCAACCAAACTCCAAGCATAATGGAAAAAACAGGCTGAATAGCCATCAGGGCCAGGACTTTTCTCCCCTCTAAACCCAAACATAACCTTCTTAATCTCTTGTGCAGTGACTGGTCTACACAATTCTATGGCAAGGTTACTAGGAAGTATCTTTTGCAACAGCCCCCTATAGAAGTCCATAGACTCAGCTTTCACAGTAGGATCAGCCTTACCAAGCAGATTCTGATAAAATCTCATGGCAACCTCACTCATACTTATTGTATCAACCACCCTTTCCCTAGCTTCATTGATAAGAGATCTTATTGTGTTCCTCTGGTTTTTAATTTTAACTGAACAATGAAAGTAAGGGGAATTTGAATCCCCTTCCTTGAGCCAAATTTCCCTAGACTTCTGTCTAAGGAAAGATTCCTCAGCGTTCCTTATAGCTAATAACTCCACTTCCCTTTCTTTGACTACAACAAAAGAATCATAAGATGGATCCACTAAAGCAACAACCTGTGCATTCTGTAGTTCCATTTCCTTCAACTTCACTCTCTCCCTTAGATCAGAATACTCTTCCTTATTCAGTTCCCTGAGAAACTTCTTAAGAACCCTTAACTTCTTGCAAACCCTGGCAAGTGGTGAGCCTGCCACCTTAGTACCCCATGCCTCTTTAACAAGGTCAAATTTTTTTGGATGAGAGGTCCAAAATTTAAAGAACTTGAATGGCTTAGGAAGGGATTTAATCTTACTATATGTATTTAAGAAAATGGGGCAGTGGTCAGACACTGAAGGATCTAAAAGATCCACAACACTATCCTTCATCCCATCTAACCATTTCAAGTTAATGAAGGCTCTATCAAGTCTCCTTGCAATAGGGTTATTCTGCTGTTTGTTGATCCATGTAAACCAAGGACCTGATGATTTGTGTTCCACTATTTCAGCCATACTCTTCCAGTTTCTAAAGTCTTCCATACTACTATTAGGGGCTGAGTTATTTGTGGCCTCCTCAGAACCATTGATAGCATTAAAGTCCCCCAGAATTATCCAAGGAACCTGTCCAACACTCAACTTGACCAAATCACTGTATAGCTTTCTTCTGTCATCTTCCTCATTAGAAGCATAGACATCGTTATAAAAAAAAGGAGACCCTGAACTGACCAAGGCATGAACAAACTGACCAAAACTATCCAGGACCCTCAAATGAACATCCTGCTTCCAGAAAATCCATAACTTCCCCAACCCATTTGCATTACAGGCAACTTTCTTCTCCCATCCAGGAAATCTCTTACTAATGAGTGCATATGACTCAACTACTCTAATTCTTGGCTCTAGTATACCCACTATATCTATATTGTATTTATTTACTAGCTGTTGAACATCTTTATTCTTTCCAGGGTCTTTGAATCCCCTGGTATTCCATGATAAGACCTTCATTTCTTCTTGCCTCTCCCCCCCCCCCCCCCCAGCAAGAGGAACAGGAGGTTTTTTCTTAGCAGAATTCCCAACAACTGTGATCCATGAGTTAACCTCATTTCTAGCAGGAGTAGACTGAGAATCCAACCTCCCCACATGTGAGCTAGATTGCTCAGTCATAAGCTGAGTGATAGCAGGACTCCCAGATGGAACTGATGATCCTTTTATCGCTTTAGCAAAACTCCCCACTAGGCCCCCTATTGACTGAGGAGCAGAATTGGAAATCCCTTCACTAGCAGACCCAGAACCAACTACATCCAAACTAGTGCTTTCAGTCACAGGAATAGCAGATTGGGAACTGCTTGATTCAGCAGACCCAACAGAGACAACTACACCAGAACTATGCTCCACTTCCTTACCTTTATCATTAGCATCCCTTATTTGAGCAACACCAGGCTGAGAAACAACTTCAGTATTCTCAGTGTCAACCTTCACTTTAGGAATCCATTTCTTCCCACTCTTGGCAAGCCAATCACAATCATGCCCATAGATCTCACATCTACCACATACCAGAGGCTTATTCAGATACTCTATCTCAATTTCAAACGACGGATCATCATCAGAGAAAGACGAACTTTATCAGGAAACCCACAATCAGCAGCAAGATCAACGCAAACCTTTGCAAAACCCAATTGAGCCCCAACCCTAGTGGTCTGGTCCATCAAGAGCGGTTCCCCTATTGTACTTGCAATCCATTCATGCCCCTCAAATGAATGATACTCTAACGGAATACCCCAAAGCTTAACCCAAATTGTTAAGGTTTCAACAACAAGAGTAACAGGTTGAATCCCAGGAAACTACTTCCTAAAATAAACCGGATTACCTTGAAAATGCCACGGTCCCGATTTGAAAACCCATTTTCCAGTAGCTGCCGAAGGAAACTGAAACACCATCAAACAAGGACCAAATTTGGAGACATGAACCACTCCGTCTCTTCCCCACAGATTGGTAGCCCACTGCTGAAGAGTTGCCGGTTTTGGAACAGACCCAACAAATTGAGCTATGAGACAGTCCTTCCACCTCTCCTCTCCCCGCTTTTTGACTTCGCGAGGAAGACGAAAACTGTCATTCTTCTTCTGAGGAGGTCAATATGTCATCTTGTTTGCCGGATCCACCTCAAAAAGAGAAGCCCAGCTAACAGGCACAGTGGCCTGCGCTGCGCCTGCGCCTGACGGCAACGCCGCCATCGAAAAAGCGAGGGTTCAGAGAGAAGCGATTAGAAGAGAGAGAGAAGAGAGAGAAGCAATCAATTCTATCACGAATTTTAAAATCACTTTTCTTTCTCTCTCTAGTTTCAAATTTCTCTGCCCCCTCTCTACTTTTCCTTTTCCAGTCTCCAATGAGGGAGCCGCCGGATTCACATCCAAGTGACCGGCGACAACACAAATCTCCAGCCTTTTATTTCATCATGCTTCTGCCTTTTTCAGCCCCTTAGTGGGTTTTCTCCAGTCTAATTTGCTTCTTTCCCTTAGTGGATTTTGCCAAGAACTTCTCTCGGGAGATGTTTCATTTTCCACACTTCAAATCTAATTTCGGATCTTGAAGTCGTCCGTGATGTGCCGAGGAAATTGCTATGCAATTTACAGACTTCTTGTTGACTTTTGGAGTTGTCCTCCTTGCTTCACTCAAAATGGCGCCGTGTTTCGGTGGTTTGGCTTGATGCCTTTGGTTCTATTGTCAACTAGTGGGATGTAGGGATTTAAGTTTCTCTTTGAGGAATTGCTGCTCTGTTTCTCTTCTTTGGGGTTTGCTTGGCTTGGGGGTGTTGGGGCGCCAGTAGGCGGGTTGTGGTGATGTTGTGTTTTGTTGGTGATGCGCTTTTGGTTTGTTGGTGCCTTGATGGTGATGACGGTGTTTGTTCGGTGAGGGCTTTTCCCTTTGCGTGCTTGTTCTGATGGTGTGGGGTCTTGTGGTGGTGGATGCGGCGGACTGGGGGTGGCGGTGCGGCTTAACGGTGGACTGTGGTGTTTGGCGGCTGTTCAAGGGGTTGGATGTGGTTTTGTTGGTTTTTTTATTTTGTTCGGGCTAGAGTTTTCTGCTGGGTTTAGTGGTTTGTGGTGGTGGGTGATGATTTGGGATTTGGGTTGTTTTTGTTTTGTGGGCTTGTTGTTTTCCCTTTTTTTATTTGTTTGTTTGTTGGCGTCTTTGTTGGGCTCCCTTTTCCTCTTGGACTTGTTTTGTATCCTTCCTTGACAAAGGTACAAACTCCGTATCACATTTCTATTTCGTAATGAAATCAGGTTTTCGTAAAAAAAAAAAGCTCGAGTTGTTGGGTGACGTTCAATCATATATCTTATACCGTATACTAACAAATGAGATCGTTAACTTATATGGAATTGAAGTTTGTACAAATATGAATACCATGTATTTAACAAATGAGATCGTCAAAATTCGAACAGAAGACCTTTCAATCAACTATTATCAACTGCACTCACCCTAATTTTCAGTATCAATTAACTATTATACCTAATTTAGCCATTTTCCTCCCGAGTTATGGTGGGTTCCGGAACCCACCCTATTACCCTCTTCCTCCGCCTCTGACCGTACCGATGGTTCAACCACAAAATAATAGTATCTTAAGCTAAACTGATAGACGGTATTTAACGATAATAACGATAGAACAATGATTAAATCACGGTTTTGCCATAAAATATCTTATCACTACTTTTCCCATACGGTTTCAACAACCATGCTTCAAACCAACGAGACAATAACTAGGACGAATTGTTTAGAGAGCACATCAAAGAAAGCAGAAATGCAGAATCACTGCAATTTTTGATTTCATACACCAAAATAATCCTTAAGAGAAGGCACAACTGCCTTGTCCACATCAGCAAACCTTAGCTTCAGGTACTCAGCATAATCAAAAGGCCTAAACAACAAAGGTCGATTCTCATCAACCAACTCCTCTGGAGCTTTCACGATGTGCCCATCCCTTGGAACTGAGAACAATCCAGCAGTGCACCTCGCTTTATGATGATCCCCTCCTGTCATCACAACTCGATGTAACGGCGAATGCAATCGACCATTCGTCCATGCCCGAAAAGATTCCCCGATTACAACATAGAAAGACGAATCAGGAGCGAAATTCGCAGGGAGCCACAGCACACCATCTCTGGTCTGCACTTCGAGTCCGTCGATATCGTTCTGGTGGAAGATGCTGACGATGTTCTTGTCGGTGTGAGGCTTCATCCTGACAGTCCTGTCAATTGTTTCAGGGGATTCGTACCTCATCATCCTGAAGGTGTAGTAAGTTGAGTTTATGTGTTGTTCCAGATACTTGTCGACTCCGACGCTCTCCAGGATCATCCTCCTCACCGATCGATCGAGTTTCGAGATTTCGTCGCAGAAGGAATGCAATGTTTTGCTTCGGCCAGGATAATAAGAGTCAGTGAATTGTTGAAAACTGAAATTAATTACACTACTTTACAGAAAGAAAGAAAGAAAGAAAGAAAGAAAGAAAGGGAAGAAACCTGAAGTATGTGTTTCCTTCAGGCCACAGGGCGTTGGTCAGCTTTTCGATCCTGGAGAAGGTTTCAGGATGATCAACACCCAAGCTCTCGAACCGTGGGTTGACATTCGATGAAGCAAAGTAGCCGTGGAAAGGCTTCTCGGAGACGTTTCTACGCTTCGCCTCCAGAGGCAGCTCGAAAACTTCATCCAGCGATCGGTTGATGGCTGGTTGAAGTCCGTCAGGAAATTTCCTGACGACAGCCTGAAAGCAGCCGTATTCTTCGGCTGCTTTCAAGACCAGTGATCTCGTGGAGTCCCATTCAGGGGTTCCTGGTTTGAGATCAAAAGTTGAGAAATCTATGACTGGAAGATTATCATCTCTTGATCCCATCTCTAAGCTCTCTTTCTCAGAGTTTCTCTGTTCTACTTGGTACAACATATATGGTCTAATCTTACTACCAAGCAGGTCATCATCATGTCCTGTTCGTGACATCAATTTTGCAGCAAAAGCGTCCCAATCAAGAGCAGTTGACAAAATGTTCTTATTTTTTATTGGCTAAAGGCCAAACTTAGGGTACACTACACCATTATCTAGGATTTTCTCTCATTATCTACAAAGAGGCCATGAAAACACAGACATATAATAATAATAGTACTGGTACTACTTATTTGAAACAAAGGGCTACATTATAGTAGTTCTGCTACTTCTTGTGACATCCGTCGATCCTCAAATGCTCTTCCCTGTTGGCATGATGCGCACCGTGAACCCGACGTTTTGTAGGGTTCACCATTTTAGCTTTGCAGGGAAGTACTGCAACAGCCATAACATATGAAAATAAGGATTAAGCAACAGAGCCCATGTTTTGACAGCACAAGAAGCGAATGTAGGCCAAAACTAATGTACCTTCTCAATGAGAGATAGATAGTATGGCTTGACTTTCTCGACATCGATTCGGACTTTGCTCTTGCTGTAAAGATCATACTTGCTGCAAATCCAGGAAACCACCAAAAGGGTTACTGTCGATTCTGTTTAATTACACATGATTAGGAAGTGAGGAAAAAAAGATGGTTTAGATACTTGAAGACTTGGAGCCACTTGAGGTCTTCAACATCCTGTTCATTCATTAGGTGCTTGTATGCTTCTGCTCTATGTAATGCTGCAATGAAATGGCGACGAGGCCACCATTTAATCTCCTTTATTAAGTCGAAATTAGATTCCGCGTCTCGAGAGATCGATCCTGTAAAGCCAACTTACCATAGAATGAATGGTATCTGATGATGAACAGAGCCGCTGATGGAAGGGTTGTCTTGTTCTCCTTAGCAACAAGGTACATGTAATCGTCGTGTCCCCACGACATCATGACACTGTCGAGTCCACATCCTGGGGAGTAAGCTCCGTACTTGGTGTTGTAATCAGGATTATAGTAATCAGGATTCTCCTTAAAATACTGAACAAAAGGACAGAAAGAAAGCAAAAATCAATAACATAAAAATTTGATTTTCATGACTTGATTAAAAACTGAATTATAACTTGGACTTATAAGACCTTGTGATGAACAATGGATTCGTCGAAGGCGCATCCAACAGGGTATGTATCTCCCACCACAGCCCACTGTGGTAGCTCACCGAAGCTAGGCAGCAACAGAACCTTCCCAAGATCTGCTTATTTTTTGGGCGGGGAAATAACACTAGTCAATAAAAAACTACGATAACTCGTCGTCATCATCAAATGTGACATGTAAATTCTCTTCCGTTACCATGAATGAGGCCGGTCAAGTGTAGCCAGTCCTCGTCGGGGTAGTCTTTCCTGATGGCTTCGGCAGTCTGGAGGAGATGCTCGATCTGTGGCTCGTCCAAGTCAGGGTCGCTCTCGTCGACGACGTCGTTTAGAAGCTCGCAGCACTCCCATATGCTCATTTCGACCCTGTTCAATTGGCCATACTCTTGTCTCATCCTCTTGACGAAGTCGTAGGTTTGGTGGATGTGATTGGTCTTGTAGAAATTCTCCACTCCTGGTTGTCTGTCCCCTTCGGCTTCATAATCTCTGTTTCGGACAATGCAGGATTAGATGGGCCGGTCTAGAAACTAAGCTGGGCCTTCCAGACCCAAGCCGTAAATGGGCTTCTAACTGATAATTACTGCTCCTTTTTTCAATAATGAGATAGAGACTGAAAGGTAGATATTTAGCTGGGGTTTTTTCGTTTTTTTTTTATAAATTGAAGATATGTGAAAGTGAGGTAGTTGGAAGGATCTGTACAGCAACAGATCTGAACTTGACCACTACTGATGAAATCAGATTCTTGCTTCTACTTTCTAGCTATAATAACAACAACAATGATTATTGATTGCCCATTGTGAGCCACAGACACAAACCATATATCATATCACAGACAGAGAGAGGCAAAAGGTACGGCTAATTCGTGACCAGCCAATTAGCACGCTGTAAAAATTGGGTAGATTCGATCTATTGTTTTGAAATTTCTTGAAAAGTAAAAAAGGGGAAGAAAAAATAGTAGCCACCTAAATGTCTGGCCGAAAGAGTTGATGTTTGGCACCACAAATCCGCCATCTAGCACCAACTCCTCCTCTGCACCGTTCTTCTCCTCCACTTCCGCCACTGCAAATCCGCCGCACAAGATCCAACATTACCACCAACACACAAATTCCTATCTAACCAGAATCAATGGAAAATAGATAACAATTAAGTTTTTTAAACAAAAGTACCAACGTCAGGCTGATGGATGAGGATGGTCATGGCGACGGGAAAACGATCGACTCTGCCGGTGAAAGGGAAGAGAGAAAGAGAATTTAGTGAGAAGAAGAAGGAGGAGAAGGAGAAGGCACAAGAATAATGAAGGGAAAGGAGAGAGGGTATTTATATGTGGCCGGAGAGTCCTTCCCCTGAGATTTCGCAGGCTGGGGAGTCCTTCCCCTGAAATTCTCCAAAACTTGTTTTGCTTTCCTTTCGTCTCTTTCCTTCTTTACTAACCAACAATTTCCATCCGTCAGTATAAGTATAGCGCAGCTGTCCACTTCCTTTTATCATTATTTATTCATTCAATGCAAGTGATGATGAGCTTGCGTGTCGAGTAATGTAATATTTGAGATGAGATGAGACGACACTTGGGTTTCAGTGAAAAATAGTAAACAAATACGAAGAAGCGAACTATCGGCCAAAAGCAATGCTATAATCCACTAACAATCACCTTGTAGCTTCGTCCCTGCTACCATTACTTCTGTACTCGGGATTTCACCCAATGCTAGTCCTCTGTGACATCAATTCTATTCATTGCACGAAAACAATACTTGCACAGGTCATTGAAAAATGTAAACGAATGTACATCGATGAAAGATGTAAACGAACGTACAATGTAAAAAAAAAAAATTTTATATTTATATCACAAAACTAGTAGTCCTTTGTCGGTAGATATACCTCCAAGATTCCAATTAATAACAAAACGTGTTGAAAGTTCATATTCGAATCACCATACACAAATACATAGGGCCCATTTGAATCCGAAATTTATGTGATAATGTTTACCACAATTCCTCAATCTACCGGATTTCAACACAATTTGGAAGCACAAGGAATTTCGAGATTAGGGATTTGACAAACTCTGCAATTGAGGGTTTTTAAAATAGTTAATGCTCATCAGCTGTTCTGAAATCACTCATCATTTTTTGTTTAGTTTTTTTTTCCTTCAATCACTAACCACTCCATCACCAACCTTCTTACTTCTTCAAAACCCTGCCGACGATGTGATCTCGACTCACCGCCGACTCCTCCCTTTCATTGAGCGCTCTTTCGAGCAAAACCCATCAATCCAAAACTTAGCAACAACCAGACCCTTTGTCTCCCAGCTTTGTCCTCCACTCTGTTCCTCCTCCTCCTCCCCATCTCTAGTCGATTGGACTCCCTCTGTTGCGCCGCAGTTTCTCTGCTAAAACGTCCTCTTCCATGACAATTAAACTCTCATGTGTTGCTTCCTTCGTTGTCGCCAATTGGACTCCACCCAGCTCCACCATGATTAGGGTAACTTAAACTAGATCATGTCGATTGCTCCATTCCATCAAAAGAGAAATCTTGAACATATTCTTCACTCCCGACCAATTCTCATTCATCGACTAGACATGAAACTCAGAAGCGGAAAAGAAGCCTCATGCAATGATGTCAATTTGCACGAATGATAGCACGAACAACACACGGACACACGGGATTACGTGGTTTCCCCAACGAGGATCGTCGGGACTAGTCCACGGCACAACGACATAATATATTATTATCACCAATGGTTCGATCACAGACCCTCCATACAACACGCGTATATATACCGGCTACTAACCCTAATTTGGACAATTACAAAATGGTACTCGCACTTCTAACACCCTCCCTCAAATTGATGTTGTCTCAACATCAATTTGTGTGCTAGAAACCAATGTCGGGCTGAAGCAACTGCCTTAGTTAACAAGTCTGCAGTTTGATTCTCGGAAGTAATGTAAGCAAGTTCTACTCCTCCTTCAGCCACCAATTGACGAATATAGTGCACATGAACTTCAATATGTTTCAGCCACCAATTGTCGAATATAGTGCACATGAACTTCAATATGTTTTGTCCTGTCATGAAGTACCGAGTTAGTAGCAATGCGAATAGCGATTGTGTTGTCAACATGAAGTTGGACTGGAGGCTGCACCTCCACTCCCAGTTCAGCTAGTAATCGCTTGAGCCATACAATTTCCGACGCCACTTCATTCATAGAGCGGTACTCAGCTTCTGTTGAAGATTTTGAGACCCTATCCTGCTTCTTACAACGCCATGAAATGAATGAGTTACCCATCTTCACACACCAACCAGACGTAGATCGCCTTGTATCAAGGCATCTTGCGTAATCTGCGTCAGCATAGGCTTCCATCACTGCCTCTCCACGCACATGGAATAGTAACCCCACATCACACGTGCCGCGAAGATATCGTAAGATCCGTTGTACTGCTGTCCAGTGAGAGGTCCGTGGAGCCATCAAGAACTGGCTTACCACCTGCACAACATACAAAATGTCTGGTCGCGTATGTGTAAGATATATGAGACTACCAACAATACCTCGATAGACCGAGCCATTCTCCAAGAGCTCCCCATATGTTCGTCGCAATTTAAGGTTCTGCTCCATTGGGGTCAAGCAAGGTACACATTCTTCCATCTGAGCTTCCTCCAGTAAGTCCATAACATACTTCTGTTGACCCACATGAATACCCTTTGAAGAGTGATGAATTTCCAAGCCCAGAAAGTAAGAAATATCGCCCAATTCCTTCAGATGAAAAGCAGACCGCAGGACCTGAGTAAGTTCATGAATACCCTCTCTATCATCACCACTCACGACCATATCGTCCACATAAATTAAGATCACTGTGATACCCTGAACAGTAGACTGAAGGAAGAGGGAAGGATCACTCGCACTTTGGGTAAACCCAACCTGCATAATGGTATCCTGTAGCTTTTCAAACCACGCCCGAGGCGCTTGTTTCAGACCGTACAAGGAACGGCGCAAACGACAAACCATAGAGCTGTCTCCTTTAGCATAACCTGGAGGACGTTCCATATAAATTTATTCCTTGAGATCGCCATGAAGAAAAGCATTCTTCACATCTAATTGAAGAAGTGGCCATTCCTTCATAGCGGCCACCGCCAGTAAACTGCGTACGGTATACATTTTGGCAACCGGAGCGAAAGTCTCTGCATAATCCACACCATACTCTTGCTGAAAACCTTGAGCAACCACTCTTGCTTTGAATTGTTCCACTTCACCATCCGGTAGCATCTTCACGTTGTATACCCATTTGTAGCCGATAACTGAAATATTAGGTGGCGGCCGTGGAACCAAATCCCATGTCTGAGCCGCTTGAAGCGCATCAGTCTCTACTGTCATTGCCTTGTCTCAACACTCGATGCCTCGGGCTTGCTTATAAGTTGTTGGAACCATAATCGAAGGTGTTGAGAAGGCCAAAAAGTCAGAATGACTCGGGGGAGGTTTCCCTCTGTTAACACGCGTGGAACACCTCAAGGGTGGTCCAACGTCATCGGCCACAAGAAGAGTATCTATAGAGGCCTCGGAACTGGACCCACCTGAACCAACCGAGGAGGATGTAGTGTTGTGCGGTGGAGAGGCAAGGATGAAGCAGCCGAGGAGGGACCAGAAGAGTGTGAGGCCGAGGAAAAATCCAACTCCAAGCTTGTAGTTGGTCCATTGTGGGAAAGTCGAATGAGTGCAAAAATGAAAGTCGAACGAGTGCAAAAATGAAAGGTCCGGCAAGGATGATTGAGTAGAATCCGACGACGCATAGTACGGGGTATGTTCAAGGAACACAACATGACACGATATTCGTACCCATCGATTTCCAACGTCATAGCATACATAGCCTTTGTGCTTGTCGTTATACCCGAGAAATACACATCGCACTGCTTTAGGAGTGAGTTTATTCCGTTCTCGGCGAGCTAAAAGAATGTAGCAGGCACACCCAAACACACGTAACCAGCCGTAATTAGGGAGTTTTGAATACAACACCTGATATGGACTTCGCTCCTGCAGAACCGACGTAATCTGACGATTGATTAAATAAACCAATGTGTGAAATGCCTCAACCCAAAACTGTGAATGAAACAGAATAGCTCGAGTAAGTTCGAGAACATGACGATGCTTTCTCTCAACCAGTCCGTTCTGCTGAGAAACTCCGGGACACGATTGCTGTATAAGAATGCCCCTCTCATGTAGCAAAGCTTGCAGAGGATGAGAGCTAAATTCACCACCCGGATTTGACCGTAATATCTTAACAGTTTTGCCAAATTGTGTAGATATCATCTGAAGAAACTCCTGTGCTACAGAGAATAGTTCAGACTTCTGCCGAAGAAAGAACACCCAGGTAAATTGTGTAGCATGATCCACGAACAACGCAAAGTCCGAAATCCCATAGGTGAAGTCACAGGAGACGGACCCCATAAATCGGTGTGCACAAGATCAAAAGGTTCTGAGTATACAGTTTCACTAGAAGTAAACGAACTTTGTGAAAGTTTAGCTTGCAAGCAATGAACACACTCATGATCCTGTCCAATAACATGTCTCCCAGACAGCCACTTATTCTGAAACATAGTACGAAGTTTCACAGAATTCGGATGACCCAAACGAAAATGCCATAAATCCTAGTTGGACAATTTAACAGAAAAACCAGCAAAATCAGAAATTCTACTATTGGACCCTTGGTCAGCTGAACATTCTTCTCGGCCCTCCTCTGGTAACAAACCCTTCTACCCAGCAAGCAAGTTCTTCTTACTCCCATCAACCTATCCAACACCTGAACGAGAAAAATAGTCCAACATAAAGATCCGACCCTGTTTACTCCCTCTCCCCAGTTCCTGCCCCGTCCTCGTGTCCTGCACAGAACACCCAGCCGCATAAAATATCACTCGACAACCATCTTCTGCCAAATGACCCACAGAGACAAGACTAGGCATTAGTTTCGGACCGAATAGCGTATTAAGGAGAGAAATACGAGGCTGGATGACATGACCCACACCGGCAACAACCATTCTAGACCCATCGGCTTCCTGTAAGTCTAAGTGGGCACGAGACTTATCCATGCTACTAAACACCCGAGAATTACTTTTCATATGATTATATGCGGCAGAATCAATATGCCAAGATGGAGAAGAAGATACCTTACCAGTAGAGAACGCGGAATTCAAGGCCGAGGGTAAGACGTCTTTCAACGCCTCTTGCACAAGACGACGAACATCCTCGGAGGTTAAGGGAGCAGCCGACCTGGAAAAACCTGAACCACCAGCCATTGTCGCATAGGCACTGTCGGAGAAAGAGCGACCAGGTCCACCACGAGACCCACGAGACCGAGAACGACCCGTTTGCGCCAAAGTGGAACAAGCTTGAATGAGGTGACCATCAAGCTTACAGTAGTTACATGAATTGCGCTTGGGACAATGAAACTGTATATGCCCCAGTTCCTTACAATGGTGACAGATGATCTCACCCTTGGTTGTACGATGGAACTGCGGCTTGCCACCGGGACGAACAGTAAAGGCGGCACTAGGATCAGAGGCATGAATGTCAAGCTTGACTGCGCAACCGTGTCTCTTCCCGAAGTAGCTCGGAAAGAACCTCATTAATAGTAGACACCTCCCGATGTAGAAGAGAATCACGGATGCTCTCAAACTCCGGGCGAAGGTTCATGAGAAACCGCATCACCCGAGAACCAGAACGCTCCTTAAGAACATCCGAAGTTACAGCCGATGAAGACAACGAACTCAAAATACTTGTTCGGTCCATAGAGTGACCGCTTCCTGGTAATAAGAGCTAATGTCCCTATCACC